GCAGTAGTACTATGTGAATATCAACTCAGGAAGAAAAAAATGATGAACAACCAGAAGGAGATGGTGATGAACAAGAAGAAAGCATGATGATGGAGAAGAAGAATCAAGAAGAAGAGCAACAACAATGGTCCCCAACAATAGAAGAATAAGCAAGAGAGAAAAAGGGAAAAAAGTGAGCCGTTGGTACCCTTTTTTCCCCTCAATTTCTTATTATTTAGAATTTTATATAAGATGGACTAAAATGTAAAATAAAAAACTTAGGTGTGAAAAATTCAATCCCTTAATTTTTAATTTAAAAATTATCACCCCTACTCAATAATTAAAACTTGAGTCACCATTCCTTAATTTTGAAACAAGAGACTGTATCATTATCTTCAGCTAAAGCAGAGTACAGATATTTGAGAAAGATCATTGGTGAACTAGTGTGGTTGAATAGACTCTTTGAAGAACTAGCAGTGCCAACCTCTACACCCTATGCAATATTTTGTGACAGCCAGTCAGCCCTTTATATTACCAGAAACCCAGTGTTTCATGAAAGAACTAAACATATAGAAGTGGACTGTCACTTTGTGAGGAACAAGCTACATGATGGCCTCATGACCCTGCATCATGTCACTACTTCAGAATAACTCGCAGACATCGTGTAATGACCCTCCTGGTCATTTCTATATCTTGTCTTCTGTGTGTCGTTTAAAGCGTTCCTATAGCGACCCCAAGTCATTTATGACTTGCTGGGACTGACGGTTCGGTCACCTGATCGTTCGTTTAGTTATGGGGTGAGTTTTAGTGTTTTAAAGCTTATGAACCTTGAACGATTATTTTCGATCAAAAGTTCAAGAAGACGCCCTCATAATGGAATTCTGACGATTTTATCAGCTCCGGAATGGCCAAGTTAGGATGGTAGCATGGTTTGCACGAGTATGAAGGCCTTTGATGCGAGTTTAGACCATTAAGCGTTTTAACCTTTGAAATTTAGCCTAAGGTTGACTTTGGTCAACATTCTTGGAAAACGTGCTTAGATGAAAATTTCGTCAACGCGGTTAGCTCCAAAATGTTGAGTTTGGTCTAGAACGACCTTTCGTTCGACTTCCAAGGCCTCCGGACTCATTTCGAGCCCCTTAGTGGATTTTGGTTAAAATGACATTTGGAAGTGGGACCCACTTTTTATCGAGATTACCTCGTATGGAAATTTTGACTGCGCCGTTGAGTCCGGAATATCAAATTTAGTAGGGTAGCATATCTGTTTTATTTTTATCTGGTACTGATCGAATTCCGAGCACCCCATTGGAGACTTTGAAGATTAGCCAAAGCTAAGATCTGGTACAGCTCTTTAGCGACCAGAGTTTGGGCCTTTAACGACCAGTTATTGGGTTTTAGCGACCGGTTTCGTCCTTTTTAAAACCTTAACTTAGCTTTATTCCTCATTTTAAAAGTGCGATACCTTGAGTTATACAGGTTCGATCTGGGCAATTCAAAAGGCAAAGTTGTGAGATTTTTTGAAGACAACGCATTGGTGAGCTCGGATAGTGATTTGGAGTCCCCATTTGAGGTAATTTTCGTAAAATACCTGCTGCCACACCCTTTTTGTGAGCTTGATTTTGGAAAATTTTGAGACTTGTTTTCTCAGCCTTTCTAGGTCCGATTTCAGTGATTTTTGAGGCTATCTTGAGTGATTTTTTTAGGAGAACGTCGTGGTGTTGTCACATTTCACTGTAGACCTCCAGTTTCTAGTAAATATGCTAAATTAGTTGTTGTCCTATTTCTTTAGTTCTTGAGGAAAATTAGGGTTTTGGTTGTATGTTGGTACTGTGTTATTTCTGAGCCCCAAATTGTGTCTCATCATGGAACACAAGTTTGGGGAGCTGTTAAGAACCTACTTTTGGGGTAATTTCAGAATTTCAGCGCGGGTCCCACGATTCCCGTATTGACCCCAAAATTGACTCATCTCCATTTGTTGTGATTTTGGTGTCTAAACGACCATAATAACGTTTTGACTCTATTTTTGATAGCGGGGCAGCGTTTCGAGGACGTTCGGAAAGGTAAAGCTTCGGAGAAATAATTTTGGAGCGCGCGTGATCGGCCTACAGGTAGGCTACGGTTTCCCTCTCTTAGATTGAGCTCTAGAATGTGAATGCATGTTGATTAGTTGGGATTTGGGTTGGGTAGTTATTGAATCCTGCATAGGTGTTAAGAAATCATGTTTTCGGCCTATTTCGAGAATTATCGGGTAACTGTGAGCATGCTTTGTGTTATTAATGGACCTTCATCGCTATGTGGAGTGCTTGCATGCTTAATTATTGTCTATTTGAAGCATGTTGTGCCTTGGTTTAGGTTTGACTAGGGCTTGCCTTAGAAATAAATGATTCGGATCCAATAGGCCTTAGTTTTTCCATGACGTCGCTCGGCCGGCTTAGATCTCTGTAGACTGGTGTAGTAGACTTGAGTCTAATAGTTTGGGCCTTAGTTATGCGATACTCTTTGTCCGACTATAGTTATCCTTAGTTTCCCCGATGTTACGGCTTCACGAGTTACATCGGCAACACTAGTTCTGCTTCACGATTTGAATTTGATTTTTGATTTGGTTCAAAGTACTTACATTGATTGGCTATGTGTGGACGGCGTTTCACGGACATTTATGAGTATGGATCGATTGGGACTCTTTCAGCAGCTACATTGGCACCTTTATAGAGCATCCGGTTAGAGTTCCGGCCTCTATTGCCCAGATAGTTATATAGAGCATCTGATTAGAGTTCTGGCCTCTATTGCCCAGATACTTATATAGAGCATCCGGTTAGAGTTCCGGCCTCTATTGCCCAGATACTTATATAGAGCATTCAGTTTAAGGTGCGGCCTCTATTGCCCATATACTTATATAGACATCCGGTTTAAGGTCCAGCCTCTATTGCCTAGATACTTATATAGAGCATCTGATTTAAGGTCCGGCCTCTATTGCCCAGATACTTAAATAGAGCATCCGGTTTAAGGTCCGGCCTTTATTGCCCAGATACTTATATAGAGCATCCAGTTAGAGTTCCGACCTCAGATACCTGATACTTGTGATTGGTTACTTGGGTACTTCTGGTGAGCATCCGGTTCGAGGTCCGGCCTCCGTATTGTTAGATTCTACTAATTATGGTTGAGGTTTTGGTTCGATGTTCTTCGTTCTTAGGTTCTTACATGCAATTCTCTTTAATTATAGTTATTTTGTGTACTCGTCGGGCTTATGGGGGTCCGTTCGGGTTTTTATTTAAGTTGCGCATGAATGTACCTTCTGGGCTTATGGGGTCCCAGTTAGGTGTAGTTAGCTTATAAATTACTTTAGTTACTTCTTTGTACACTCGTGTGTATTTCTTTGTTAGTTAGATTTTTGTTCTTGACCTCGATTTGTGTATTCCTTCTTTTCATATTGCCTTTACTTTTCAAGTTCAGTTGGCCTATGATGCCTACTGGGTACCTGTTGTTTTGGTACTCATGCTACACTCTGCATCTATTTCGTGATGCAGGTCCGGGCACTAGTAGCCAGCGTTGATCGAGCTTGGAGCAGAGTGATCCAGAAATGGGAGTGAGCACACGGCGTTTTGTAGTATTTCAGTCTCCATCTGTATATATAGACTTGTCGTTTACCTTTCGAGACAGTCCAATCTCTGTTGTCTACTTTAGGGACTTGTACTTATTTTGTAGTAGCTCTGTACTAGTGACTTCCAAGTTCTGGGAGGGATCTTTATTTGTATATATGTTTTGGTTTGCCTCTGCCTGTTTATATTGTTATTTGCCTACTCTTGTTTAGTTTCTACCCTCAGACCTATTACTTTTTGTTTCGGATTACGGGTTGACTTACCTGCTGGTGGGTTATAGTAGGTGTCATCATGACTTGAGAAATCGGGTCGTGACAAGTTGGTATCAGAGCCTCAGGTTCACCGGTCTCACTTGTACAGAGCTAACGTCTAGTAGAGTCTTACGGATCGGTGCAGAGACGTCCGTAACTTATTTTTGGGAGGCTACATGATGTATTTAGAAAGATTTCCTCTTTTGTTTCACTTCGTGCAGCTTGTGTTTTATTGGTTCCTTGAAACCTCACTTGTTTCACTCTTTCGGGGGATGACTCGCACGCGAGGCGGCGCGGTCGGGGCTGATGCAATCGGGCCTGTAGACAGATCCCCATCTTGGGGTAGACGTTGACACCGAGGTTGAGTCAGGGCCGCAGCATCGGCCCGAGATATGGAGGAGGTGAGAGATCGTTGTTTTGTACGTGGGTTGAGGTACCGTCTGAGGGTCGACACAGAGCATTTGGTTTCAGTCGGCCGTTCATTTCTTGATGTGGTCGATCAGGCCCGATCCATGAAGCATATTCATCGCGAGGCCCAAGGGGGCAGCGATAAGAGGGCACGCTACTAGGGTAGCTACAACGGGTCCTAGACTAGAGGGATATACTCTTATGATAGGCCCCGCCAGAGGTTCCAATAAGGTCATTCCAATCGTCCTGTTCAGGCGACATTACCTACTTCTGAGAGAGGCCAGCATCAGCAGGTTGGTCTTAGTACGGGCCAGAGTTCGAGGGGATCAGATTTCCTCCCTTCCTACCGCAGTCGAGTTACTTCAGGGCGTTCAGTTTCGGGGTGTTTTGATTGCGGTGCACTTGACCATTGGTCCAGAGGGTGCCCCCGGCAAGGGCCAGGGGCGATTGTACCAGCTCCCTTTACACCTAGACCAGTTTCAGCAGTGCCCCCTCCAGCTAGAGGTGGTGGTCAAAGCCAGGATCGTCGGGACAGCCGACAGGATACCAGAGGCGGACTCGGGGAGGCAGATTAGGTAGTAGATCAGATGCATCGGGCAGAGGTGCTCAAGGCCATTTCTATTCAGCCCCGGCGAGGGCGGCGACTGAGGCATCTGACGATGTCATTACAGGTGCACTTTTATTATGCCATCAGCCTGCTACAATATTATTTGATCCCGGGTCCACATTCTCATAAGTATCTATTTATTTTTCTCCCCGATTGGGTATGAAGTACGAGTCTTTGGCAGACCCGATTCATGTTTCGACCCCGGTGGGTGAGTCCTTAGTAGTGGATCAGATATTACGATCTTGCTTAGTGACTATCCAGGGTTATGATACTAGAGTTGATCTTATTCTGCTAGATATGGTTGATTCCGATGTGATTCTGGGCATGGACTGGTTATCTCCCTACCATGCGGTCTTGGATTGCTACGCCAAGACTGTCACTTTATCCATACCTGGCATTCCCCCAGTGTTGTGGCAGGGTGCTTATAGCCACACACTGACGGGAATCATCTATTTTATTCGAGCTAGGCGGTTGGTTGCTTCTGGGTGTTTAGCTTATTTGGCCTATGTGCGAGATGTGAGTAGGGAGGGCCCTTCAATTGACTTAGTTCCTGTGGTTAGAGAGTTTGCAGATGTGTTCCCTACAGACCTACTTGGCTTACCCCCAAATCGGGACATTGATTTTGTCATAGATTTGGAGCCCGACACTCGTCCTATTTCTATTTCGCCTTACCGGATGGCTCCTGCAAAGCTCAGGGAGCTCAGTGTGTAGTTAGATGATCTCTTAGGTAAGGGGTTCATCCGTCTGAGTGTGTCGTCTTGGGGTTCTCCTGTTCTGTTATTGAAGAAGAATGACGGGACTATGAGGATGTGCATTGACTACAGGCAGCTGAACAAGGTGACGGTGAAGAACCGTTACCCCATGCCTCGCATTGATGATTTGTTTGATCAACTTCAGGGTGCCGCCGTGTTTTCTAAGATTGATTTGAGGTCCGGGTACCATCAGTTGAGGATTAGGGCAGCAGACATCCCTAAGACTGCATTTAGGACCCGTTATGGCCATTATGAGTTCTTGGTGATGTCATTTGGGTTGACTAATGCCCCTGCTACCTTTATGGATTTGATGACGCGTGTGTTCAGGCCTTTTCTTGATTCCTTCGTCATAGTCTTCATTGATGACATTTTGATATACTCGCAGAGTTAGGGATGATCATGAGTAGCATTTGAGGGTTGTGCTCCAGACTTTGAGAGATCAACGGCTTTATGCCAAGTTCTCAAAGTGCCAGTTTTGGTTAGACTCTGTACCGTTCTTAGGGCATGTTGTATCCAAGAAGGGCATTATGGTAGATCCGGCGAAGATTGAGGCTATTTGTGATTGGGCTAGGCACACCTCAGTTACTGAGATTCGGAGCTTCGTCGGACTAGCAAGGTACTACAGATGCTTTGTTGAGGGCTTTTCCACTATTACAACCCCATTGACTCGATTGACTCGTGTTGATGTTCCCTTTGTTTGGTCAGAGGAGTGTGAGGCGAGCTTTTTGAGGCTCAAGGAGTTATTGACCACCGCTCCTATATTGACTCTTCCAGTTGAGGGTGAGGGCTTCACAGTTTATTGTGACGCATCCGGCGTTGGTTTGGGTTGTGTATTGATGCAGTATGGCCGGGTTATTGCTTATGCGTCGAGGCAGCTTAAGATCCATGAGCGCAACTACCCCACTCATGACTTGGAGTTGGCGGCGGTAGTTTTCACGCTTAAGATTTGGAGGCATTACTTGTATGGAGTTCGATGTGAGATCTATACCGATCATAGGAGTCCTCAGTACATCATGAGCCAGAGGGACCTTAATTCGAGGCAGCATCGTTGGATTGAGCTCCTGAAGGACTACGACCACTCTATTCTCTATCAACCGGGCAAGGCGAATGTGGTAGCGGACGCCTTGAGCCGGAAGGTGGTGAGTATGGGTAGTCTAGCCTTCCTTTCTGTTTCGGAGCGACCGTTGGCTTTGGACATCCAGTCCTTAACTAATTGGATGATCAGACTTGATATTTCAGATTCCAGACGGGTATTAGCCTATGTGGGAGTTCAGTCATCTTAGCTAGATCGGATCCATGGTTGTCAGTTTGAGGATGAGTCTTTAGTGGCACTCAGAGATAGGGTATTGGCAGGTGATGCTAGACAGGCTACCTTAGATTCAGATGGGGTTCTAAAAGTCGATGGACGGTTGTGTGTTTCGAGAGCTGGGGGTTTGATTCAACTGATCTTGAGTAAGGCCCATGAGTCTAGATACTCTATCCATCCAGGCACAGCGAAGATGTATCGTGATTTGAGGCAGCATTACTGGTGGAGAGGTATGAAGAGAGATATTACCGACTACGTATCCCATTGTTTGTGTTGCCAGCAGGTGAAGGCTGAGCATTTGAGGCCTGGTGGCGAGTTCCAGAGATTACCCATTCCTGAGTGAAAGTGGGAGCGTATCACTATGGACTTCATTGTGGGGTTGCCTCGGACTTCTAGAGGAGTTTACAACATTTAGGTCATCGTGGATTAATTGACCAAGTCAGCACACTTCGTTCCTGTTCATACTACTTTCAGTGCCGAGAGGTTAGCTCGTATTTACATTAGGGAGGTGGTCCATCTTCATGGCGTGCCTGCTTCTATCATTTCAGACCGGGGTTCACAGTTCACTTCCAGCTTTTGGATGACTTTTCAGGAGGAGTTGGGCACCCGTGTCCACCTTAGCACAACATTTTACCCACAGACGAATTGTCAGTCAGAGCGTATTATTCAGATCCTTGAAAATATGTTGCGGGCCTGTGTTATGGATTTTGGAGGTCAGTGGGACTAGTTCCTCCCTTTGGCGGAGTTTGCGTACAACAACAGCTACCACTCTAGTATTCAGATGGCCCCGTTTGAGGCCTTATATGATAGGCGTTGTCGCTCTCCAGTTGGTTGGTTTGAGTCTACAGAGCCTAGGCCGTGTGGTACATAATTGCTTCAGGAGGCCTTGGATCAGGTGCGGGTGATTCATGATAGGCTCAGGACGGCTCAAAGTAGACATCAGAGTTACGCGGATCATAGGCGTCGGCCATTGAGGTTTGCAGTTGGTGACCGGGTATTTCTTCGAGTATCGCCCATGAAGGGCGCGATGAGATTTGAGAGGCGGGGCAAGCTTAGCCCCAGGTATATAGGTCCATTTGAGATTTTGAGAGCAGTTGGCGAGGTTGCCTATGAGTTAGCTTTACCTCCAGCACTATCGGCTATCCACCCAGTGTTTCATGTTTCGATGATGCGCCGGTATGTTCCAGATGAGTCTCATGTTTCGATTGCCATTCTAGTCAGAGATGTCAGACAATTGCGGTTGAGAGCCTTCCCTGTTGTTAAGGTACGTTGGAGACACCATCCAGTCGAGGAGGCTACCTGGGAGACCGAGCAGGAGATGCGAGAGCAGTTCCCTAGCTTATTCGAGACTTTAGGTATATCCTTATTCTTACTTTTGAGGACGAAAGTCCTTTTTAGTAGTGGATATTGTAATGACCCTCCTGGTCATTTCTATATCTTGCCCTCTATGTGTCGTTTAAAGCGTTCCTATAGCGACCCCAAGTCATTTCTGGGACTGACGGTTCGGTCACCTAGTCGTTCGTTTAGTTATGGGGTGAGTTTTAGTGTTTTGAAGCTTATGAACCTTGAACGATCATTTTCGATCAAAAGTTCAAAAAGACGCCCTCATAATGGAATTCTGACGGTTCCATCAGCTCCGGAATGGCCAAGTTAGGATGGTAACATGGTTGGCACGAGTATTAAGTCCTTTGATGCGAGTTTAGACCATTAAGCGTTTTAACCTTTGAAATTTGGCCTAAGGTTGACTTTGGTCAACATTCTTGGAAAACGTGCTTAGATGAAAATTTCGTCAGCGCGGTTAGCTCCAGAATGTTGAGTTTGGTCTAGAACGACCTTTCATTCGACTCCCGAGGCCTCCGGACTCATTTCGAGCCCCTTAATGGATTTTGGTTAAAATGACATTTGGAAGTGGGACCCACTTTTTATCGAGATGACCTCGGATGGAAATTTTGACTGCGCCGTTGAGTCCGGAATATCAAATTTAGTAGGGTAGCATATCTGTTTTATTTTTATCGGGTACCGATCGAATTCCGAGCACCCCATCGGAGACTTTGAAGATTTAGCCAAAGCTGAGATCTGGTGCAGCTCTTTAGCGACCAGAGTTTGGGCCTTTAACGACCAGTTATTGGGTTTTAGCGACCGGTTTCGTCCTTTTTAAAACCTTAACTTAGCTTTATTTCTCATTTTAAAAGTGCGATACCTTGAGCTATACAGGTCCGATCTGGGCGATTCAAAAGGCAAAGTTGTGAGATTTTTTGAGGACAACGCATTGGTGAGCTCGGATAGTGATTTGGGTCCCCGTTTGAGGTAATTTTCGTAAAATACCTGCTGCCACACCCTTTTTGTGAGCTTAATTTTGGAAAATTTTGAGACTTGTTTTTCTCAGCCTTTCTAGGTCCGATTCCAGTGATTTTTGAGGCTATCTTGAGTGGTTTTTTGAGTAGAACGTCGTGGTGTTGTCGCATTTCACTGTAGACGTCCAGTTTCTAGTAAATATGCTGAATTAGCTGCTGTCCCATTTCTTTATTTCTTGAGGAAAATTAGGGTTTTGGTTGTATGTTGGTACTGTGTTGTTTCTAAGCCCCAAATTGTGTACCATCATGGAACACAAGTTCGGGGAGCTGTTAAGAACATACTTTTGGGGTAATTTCAAAATTTTCAGCGCGGGTCCCATGATTCTCGTTTTGACCCCAAAATTGAATCCTGCATAGGTGTTAAGAAATCATGTTTTCGGCCTATTTCGAGAATTATCGGGTAACTGTGAGCATGTTTTGTGCTATTAATGGACCTTCCTCACTATGTGGAGTGCTTGCATGCTTAATTATTATCTATTTGAAGCATGTTGAGCCTTAGTTTAGGTTTGACTAGGGCTTGCCTTAGAAATACATGATTCGGATCCAATATGTCTTAGTTTTGCCCTGACGTCGCTCGGTCGGCTTAGATCTCTGTAGACTGGTGTAGCAAACTTGAGTCTGATAGTTTGGGCCTTAGTTATGTGATACTCTTTCTCCGACTATAGTTATTCTTAGTTTCCCCGATGTTACGGCTTCACGAGTTACATTGGCGACACTAGTTCTGCTTCACGATTTGAATTTGGTTTTCGATTTGGTTCCAAGTACTTACATTGATTGGCTATGTGTGGACGGCGTTTCACGGACATTTATGAGTATGGATCGATTGGGACTCTTTCAGCAGCTACATTGGCACCTTTATAGAGCATCCGGTTAGAGTTCCAGCCTCTATTGCCCAGATACTTATACAGAGCATCCGGTTAGAGTTTCGACCTCTATTGCCCAGATACTTATATAGAGCATCTGATTTAAGGTCCGACCTATATTGCCCAGATACTTATATAGAGCATTCAGTTTAAGGTCCGGCCTCTATTGCCCAGATACTTATATAGAGCATCCGGTTTAAGGTTCGGCCTCTATTGCCCAGATACTTATATAGAGCATCCGGTTTAAAGTCCGACCTCTATTGCCAGATACTTATATAGAGCATCCGGTTTAAGGTCCGGCCTCTATTCCCCAGATACTTATATAGAGCATCCGGTTAGAGTTCCGACCTCAAATACTTGATACTTGTGATTGGTTACTTGGGTACTTCTGGTGAGCATCCGATTCGAGGTCCGGCCTCCGTACTGTCAGATTCTACTAATTAGGGTTGAGGTTCTGGTTCGATGTTCTTCGTTCTTGGGTTCTTATATGCAATTCTCTTTAGTTATAGTTATTCTGTGTACTCGTCGGGCTTATGGGGGCCCGTTCGGGTTTTTATTTAACTTGCGCACGAATGTACCTTCTGGGCTTATAGGGTTCCAGTTAGGTGTAGTTAACTTATAGATTACTTTAGTTAGTTCTTTGTACACTCATGTGCATTTTTTTGTTAGTTAGATTTTTGTTTTTGACCTCGATTTGTGTATTCCTTCTTTTCATATTGCCTTTACTTTTCAAGTTCAGTCAGCCTATGATGCCTACTGGGTACCTGTTATTTTGGTACTCATGCTACGCTCTGCATCTATTTCGTGATGCAGGTCCAGGCACTAGTAGCCAGCGTTGATCGAGCTTGGAGCAAACTGATCCGGAAACGGGAGTGAGTTCAGTCTACATCTGTGTATATAGACTTGTATTTTACCTTTCGAGACAGTCCAATCTCTGTTGTCCACTTTTGGGACTTGTATTCATTTTGTAGTAGCGTTGTACTAGTGACTTCCAGGTTCTGGGAGGGATCTTTATTTGTATATATGTTTTGGTTTGCCTCTGCCTGTTTATATTGTTATTTGCCTACTCTTGTTTAGTTTCTACCCTCAGACCCACTACTTGTTGTTTCGGGTTACGGGTTGGCTTACCTGCTGGTGGGTTATAGTAGGTGTCATCATGACTTGAGAAATCGGGTCGTGACACATCTTAACCAAAGCATTGACAGGAATTAAACATTCAGCTATTCTTGGCAAGTTGGATGTAAAGAGCACACTTCCAACTTGAGAGGGGGTGTTAAGATAAGTTGTTGCCTAATTATATGCTGAGTCAGCATGCTTAGTTGTTGATTTGTTAGTTGTTAGTTTGTTAATTAACTGATTAGTTGAGTAGATTAGTTAGCTAAGTCATAACGTTACAAGTGTTGTATATAAAGTACAAATTGACATCTTCAATAAAACAGTTTTCTTTTTCCCCAAGCTGATCTACCTTGTGAAGGATGCTCTCATGGAGCTTGTATCAATGGTGGATGTCTAAATTTGACAGAATAATGTCTTCCAAGATTTCGAAACACATTTAAAATGAAAAAGAGACTTAGCATGAAGTTTGGTGAGAATGTCCATAAGTATTTCTTCCTCTGGAATGTGAGTTCCCATTGCCATACTCACGAAGACTAAAAGAGAATATGATTTAATGCTTTTCTTTTTGTTTCCCATCTAGTGTCCGAGCCTACATTGAAGCTCCGACTAAATCCGGATCGCATGTTAATCTATTTATAACTTGGTACATATAAACCTAAAAGGATTAAAGTTCAAGAAAAGTATCTCCTTTAGACAAAACAGTCTTTTCACTCTTTCTTAAAAATTATAAAATTACTGTAATTTTCTTTCATATTTAAAGAGATAATATCTTATATGGTCACTCAATTTTGAATAGTTCACTTAGAAAGTCACTCAACTTTGTTTTTTAACTCAAAAGTCACTCAACTATTGATGTTTCACTTAGAAAGTCGCCCAACAATTTATATTTCACTAGAAAGTCACTTAATCAATTTAAATATTATTTTCATTAAATTTTGTAAAAATACAAAAAATAATTAAATTATTTTAAAAAATAAATAAGATGCTTATTTTAATTATTGTTTTTTTACTACCTTTTCATTAAAAAAAATAGTAGAAGATCGTTACTGCCCCTTTTTTTTAATTATACTTCTTATCAATTCCAATTTTTCTTTTTGGTAATCTTTTAACAATTTATTTCTAGTTTTACAATTACTAGAAGCTAAAAGCTTTTTTTTTTGGCTACGTTTTTTACGTTATTTTTAGAAAGATAATTAAATAATTGGAGCGGATCAATAAAATAATTAAAATAGATATCTTATTATTTCTTTAAAAATAGTTTAAGATGAAATTTAATGAAAAAATTATTTACATTGATTGAGTGACTTTCTAAGTGAAATCAGGGGCGGCTGGCAAGGCTTGTCAAAAAGTCCTTGGCCTTAGGCCCCCAATTTTAGGGGGCCCCATTTTTTAGTTAATTAGGTAGGATTAAATTAAAAAAAAAAAAATAGAACTAAGACAATAAATGCAAAGGCCCCATTTTTTAGTTAATTAGGAAAGATTAAATTTTAAAAAAAATAATTAGAACTAAGACAATAAATGCAAAGGCCCCATTTTTTAGTTAATTAGGAAAGATTAAATTTTTAAAAAAAAAATATTGTTTGAGCTAATAAGTCAATAGTGAAACGGCTAAATGAGGTGATTGTCATAGATATGACCATGACTTTTTAACTTTCCCATAAAAAATTGAAAAGTTGTGTACTTTTTTTTAACTTACAAGTTATCTTTTTTTTTTACCTTATTTTGTTTTCTAATTTTATTTTTATATATTCTATCCTCCTCCCTTCTATTTCTTCTCACTTTCTCTTTTCTAATCTTACATCTCTCTCTTATTCAAAGCTAAAAAAATTTACTTGTTCTATTGATAATTTATATTTTAAATTTGGAGAAAACTATATTGCAGCAGCCCGATTCATTTTCGGAAATCAAGTCTTCATAGCTTTTGAATTTGGTAATATCATTCTAATTTCTAATATTATTTTTGTTTTGTGTCTTATGTTTATTATATTTTTTATTTGATATTGTAAATAGTGTTTAAAATATTTGTTAGATTTTAATATGTCAACTAGAAAATATGAATCCGGTCATTCAAAACTTAAAAGAAAAAGAAAAGTCGACAACTTGATAAAATCTCAAAAAGGTGCTCTTGATAAATTTTTGGAAAACAATGATAATATTAAATCAAAAAAGGTAGGGGAATGCTCTTTAGAAAAACAAGTTACAAACTTAGTTGAAGTTGAGTTAGATAATGATATAAACCAAAAAGAAGAAGAAGGAGAGGAAATTAGTGAAAAGTCGGATGTAGATTCCCAAGAAAATCAAGAACTTATAAATGAATTAAATAATCATGCTCCTAAAAATATCTATGATCCTAGTCAATGGAATATTGTTGATACAAAGTTAAGAGACTTATTAGTAGAAAAGAGACCAATTAGAATTACCGACACATGTTTTCCAAAGGATAAATTTTTAAGGCACTTTTCTACTACATATTATTTTCAAAAGTTGGCAAATGGAGAAAGACATGAAAGAAGATGGTTAGTTTATTCCAAAGATTTGAATAAGGTATTTTGTTTTTGTTGTAAGTTATTTAATATGACCTTTAATGCAAAGAATAATAAGTTAGCTAATGAAGGTAGTAGAGATTGGAAAAATCTTACTACTAAGCTTAGAACCCATGAAACAACTAGCCAACATATTATTAATATGAGTTCATGGATTGATTTAGAATTTAGATTGCGTAATAATAAACAATCGATAAAAACATTCAAGACCAAATTAATAGAGATAGAGAACATTGGAAAAATGTATTGTCAAGAATTATTTCCGTCATAAAAACTCTTGGAAGAAATAATTTGGCATTTAGGGGGAAAAATGAAAAAATCTATCAAGAAAATAACGGAAATTTCTTGAGTCTTATTGAAATGATTGCAGAATTTGATCCAATTATGCAAGAACATATTCGACGAATCAAACATGATGAAATTCATAATCATTATCTTGGACATAATATACAAAATGAATTAATAAATTTATTGGCAAGTGAAATTAAGAACAAGATTATTGAAAAAGTTATAAAAACAAAGTATTTCTCTATCATACTTGATTGCACGCCAGATACAAGTCATCAAGACCAAATGTCTTTTATAATACGGAGTGTAGATATTTCGACAACTCCAATAAATGTAACTGAATATTTCTTAGAATTCTTAAAAGTGGATGATACAAGTGGAAAAGGTCTTTTTGAAGTTATTTTAGATGAAATAAAATGTATTGGACTTGATATTGATAATTTAAGAGGACAAGGATATGATAATGGGTCTAATATGAAGGGAAAACACCAAGGAGTGCAAAAAAGACTTCTTGATATAAATCCTAGATCATTTTATACACCATGTGGTTGTCATAATCTAAATTTGGTACTTTGTGATATGGTTAATTCTTGTACGAAAGCTATATCATTCTTTGGAGTGGTACAACGTATATATTCACTATTTTCTTCGTCTACTAAGCGGTGGAAAAATTTAAAAGATAGTGTACCTAGTTTAACTCTTAAATCATTGTCACAAACACGGTGGGAAAGTCGTATTGAAAGTGTTAAAGGAATAAGATTTCAAACTCCACAAATAAGAGATGCTTTATTTAAATTAGAAGAAGTTAGTGATGATCCAAAAATTAAAAGTGAAGCTAATTGTTTAGCAATTTTTGAGCTTGAAAATTTTGAATTTTTATTGGGTATGACTATTTGGTATGATGTACTATTTGCTGTAAATTCAATTAGCAAAAGTTTACAATCAAAAGATATGCATATTGATGTCGCTATAGATCAATTAAGAGGTTTAGTTTCTTTTTTTAAAACATATAGAGAAGAAGGATTTACAAGTGCTATGATTTCGGCTAAGGAAATTGCATTAGAGATGAATATTGAACCTGTATTTCGTAAAAAACGTGTAATTTATAGAAAAAAACAATTTGATGAGAATGTTGATAATGAAATCACAAGATCTCTTGAAGAATCATTTAGAGTTGATTACTTCTTATACATAGTAGACCAAGCCATCTTTTCACTTTAAAATAGATTTGAACAATTTGAAGTATATGAAAATATTTTTGGTTTTCTATTTAGTGGGGAAAAATTGAGATCATTAGATGATGAGAATTTAAAAAAATATTGTCTTAATCTTGAATGTTCCTTAAAACATAGTACTCACTCCGATATTGACGGTTTAGACTTATTTTTTGAATTAAAAGTGTTAAGGGAAATCATAAAACTAGAAGACAATACTCTAATTGAGATACTCAATCAAATAAAAAGACTTGATTCTTTTCCAAATGCTTACATTGCTTATAGAATAATGTTAACAATTCCCGTAACAGTCGCCTCAGCCGAAAGAAGTTTTTCAAAATTAAAAATAATAAAATCTTATTTAAGATCGACAATGTCTCAAGAAAGATTAAGTGGTTTGGCTATATTATCGATTGAAAAGGAATTATTAGAAGAGATTGATTACACAAAAATTATTAACAACTTTGCATCTCAAAAAGCTAGAAAAATAGATTTAAAATAAAAACATTTATAATTTTTTTTTAAGGCCTCTAGTTTGATTTTGGCCTTAGGCCACCAATGGGTTTGAGCCGCCCCTGAGTGAAATATAAATAGTTTGGTGACTTTCTAAGTGAAACATCAATAGTTGGATGACTTTTGAGTTATAAAACAAAGTTGAGTGACTTTCTAAGTAAACAACTTAAAGTTGAGTGACTTTCTAAGTAAACAACGCAAAGTTGAGTGAGCATTTGAGATATTAACTCATTTCTCATGTGTACTTGAATCGCAAAAAGATTTATATAAATGAGCAGACTTTTAGGCACTACTAGGATTTGGAAATGAAATGCTTTTTCTCTGATAACGAGTTACTTGTTCAATGGGGATAGAGAATGGTGTGTTGGATTTTAAGCTTTTAAGTTTATTTACTGATATTCTAACTCCGCTTCTGATTAACGGTTGACCCCTCTAGATGAAGAGGATGATTGTAGGTGAGGTGGACTAGTTTGGCGTTAAATTTCAGTTCTATAGTCTCTTGATTAAATATATCACATGTATATATTGTGTATATCACTGAGCATACCCATATTTTCATGGATATATGTGTATGATATCATGATATATAGGAGATACAAGGGGGATATACATAGATGGAGTCGTTTTCAACCTCAAGTTTTTAATTTGAAGATCAGCTCAAATCCACCTCAAATAGTCTCCAAACAATTTGAAAATTGATATTCAAACTTCTTAAGATATTACGAACGAAAAGTAAAATCCATAAAATTTTCTTCTTTTTTTGGGTACTAAAGATAAAACTTCATTAACTAAACAAGAATGTTACAGGGAGTGTGCACAGACCTATTTGGTAAATGGTAATACAATACATTTTCACATACCAATCTTATTAAGTTATGCAACTGGCGTAGAGTCGCTTATAGAATGCCGACGACTATTTTCCACTTAGTAAGTAAAGGGGAGAGGGAAGCCAGGCTTAGCGATTTTTATAAGGCCGACCACTACATGAGCCGCTGGTGGAGACTGGAGTAGTTAACACTAATTACCATTCTAAGCATAACTCTTGATAATTTCCATTTTCCATGTAAAAGGCCAAAGGCAAATTACTCAAACAACTTAGAATATCTTGCCTATAATCTTTCCACCACTTCATGAAGCTACTCTGAGGCTGGAAAATCTCAGAGGATACTGAATAGCTCCATATCATTTTCATTACATTTTCCCCAAAATTAACCAAATGCTCCGTTGCATTTTCCTTCTCTTCTAGAATGCCTTCTCTCAGTCTTTTGGAATTTATAATAGCTTCCTCCACATATGCCCAAAAGCAAGAATCTTCGGTGAGGCTAACGGACTTCCTTCTATCGTTACCACTTCCAGGTGGGTTGTCTTCTTTCCTCCATTCCTCCAACTTTTTATAGTGCTCAGATCTACCAAGATTTACATAGTCTGTGTTCCCTGATTTCATATAGTATTCAGCTATGTCGAGTGGCTCGACCATCCTTCTATAGTTTGTCCCTGCATACAGCCAACGAGTACGAAAAGTTGTCTCCTCTCTTTGTGGCATATTCTCTACTTCTTCAACAATTGTTTTCCAGTACTTAGTGAGGACTCTTTGGTGCTTGACAATTTCTTGTCTGCTTTTGACAGCATCCCTGCCTCGATTCTCACTGCGTTTAAAACTATCATAGTAGCCTCCTTCTTTCAGTGTTACTTTCTTGTACCACTCTAGCCATGCCATAGATTCTTTCATTTTGTTTAGCTTCTTGCCAGGATCAAAGGCATTCCTCTTCTTTGCAAAAGATTCTTCCACTCTTTTCTTCACTTTAGTCCTTAGAGGGTTCATGTTACTTGTCTGCTGCCACGACAAATATATGCATTATAGAAGTTAGAAATACAGGTTTAGAAACAAGTTTTATGAATGTTATTTCTATTGATTTCATATTCATTCGAACTTTAGCTAAAGAAAGGGAAACTATACATGCTTTCATTTTAGGAGTAAGAGTTTGTTTTACCTGTCCACCAATTCCGATTGCTTCTAGCTGTAGATCAATACCTGCTTGAAGTTGATCCACGCTAGAGTGAAACAGCTGAGAAGCTCCCTTAAAGATTACTCTATCCTTGAGGCGTTCCAAAACCTGCTCATAGTCGAAAGCCAAGAAACGACTGTCCTGGTGTTGGCTATTTAAGTTCATTTCCATCATAATATCCAAAACTGATTCAGGTTCCTCAAAACAGGAGCAGTCTGAATCTGAGCACAGCAGAAACATACCGAATGGATTGTAAATACAAGATTGAGGAATAGAACCAGCAAAGACATTAGTAGGTGAAATTAAAGATCTTGGGATTGGATCATGGTTCGAGACTACGTGCAAGAAGCTTGAATTCCATGATGGACGTTCTGATATGGCTCGTTGCAGGCCACTATCACCAAGAAGAGGTGAACCAAAAGTGATGCAAGTAGGACGCTTATTATTGTCCTTAAGTAGCCAGAGAGTGAAAAGAGATGCCACAGAACCTCCCAAAGAAACTCCAGTGATTATTAGAGGACTGACATTGCCCAACTGCAGTCAATCAGAACGAACAAAACATAAACATGAATATATGAACAACAAGGCTCCTGAAAATCAATGCTTCAGAAGGAAGTAAGTTTTGGTTTCGTAACAGAGTTTCAAGTATTCTATCATGTCAAATTCCAGCATTACCATGCTAACATCAGTCAAGGTATTCGAGATTTTTCTTTTGCTGTTTGTTTACAGAAATAACTGCACAATTACGACAAAGTTTATAGGCGAACTTATACTAATAAAAGGACACATTTCTAATTTGGCAACTAATAAGAAGCTCAGGATTTGTAAATTCAAAAAGAGATTTCTTCTTTAGCACCAGAATCTAACCAATCTAAATGTACCACTCAGTTAGGTTAACATAGTGTATTGACAGTTGAAACCACATAATGCTTCATTTTAAACTTTCCATCTCTCTTTATTTCTTGGAGATATTATGGTCAATAATTCCCATGTCAAGACAAAATAACTAAAATATTCCCTTTGTTTCAATTTCCTTGTCTTGCGTTTCTTTTTAGTTCGTTTAAAAAAGAATCAATGATTAAATTTTTTTGGCAACTCTTTGCTTCTAGTTTTCTACCTAACATGTCTATGATTATAACATTAAACGATATCTTTTACGTAACTTTAGTTTAAGACCACAAAATAAAAAAGTTTCTTTGCATTTTTAAGTTTTGTACCAAGTCAAAACCAAACAAACAAATTAAAACGGAAAAAGTAATATCTAGCACAAGTAAGGAAAGCTCAAGAGAAATCACAAATTTTGCAGAGAAATAAAAGATTATTATAGTACCTGTTCTTTGAGGGCAGAGAGCTCATTCAGTAATGAAGCAAAAAGGGTTATAGCTGCTTTGTTAACTGAGAAATGAGGGTTGCGTTTGGTAGAAATGAACTGAAAAGGAGATTGAGAACCTTCCAGATCTTCTGAAGAGACCATTTCTTTCTGAAGAGTACAAGTAGGAGAGGATACAAAAGCAACAATAGCACCATTTGAATGATATGGGTAAACTTTAACCAAAATTGGATTATTCAAATAAGGATGATTCCTAAGGTCAGAGATTGTAAACCAAGAATGATGAAGTAGATCTGAGCTCACCAACAAATTTGCAAATTCTTGGCCACTACTAAACCTGTGAAACAAAAAAATGAAAAATTGGGTCATGTAAAACAATACAATCTTGAACAATAAAGCAAAAAGATTTGAACTTTTTGTAGTATATGCTATAAAAGAATAAAAATTGCCACTCACATGGAAACTTGGCTCATCTTGGCCTTTGGAGAATTTGAGATATTCCTGAAGGCCTAGCTAACATCTAATATAAATAAGCATAGCAGTAGAAGATATTGTACAAGAAGTTAAAATACAAGTTTGATAAATGAGGCAACAAAAAAGGTTGGCAAATGAGAAAGGAATGAGGAAAGTAGATGTAAAGGACAAGAAGAAAATGCCCAGAAATTGAAGGAGAAGAAGGGAATGGTGGTTTACTTTTTGATTTTTCTTGACTCTCAAGTCTACTAGTATAACTAATACTCCCTTAGTTTCAGTTTACGTGACACAGTTTGACATGAAACAAAATTAAAGAAATTTTAGTCATATGGGACTAAGGGGTCGTTTGATTTGAAAATGAGTTATGATGGGATAAGTTATGTTGGGATTAGTTATGATGGGATAAGTTGTGTTGGATTATTTTTTATTGAGTGTTTGGTTTATTGTATTCAAAATAATAAATTTTAAGAACAATTTATTTGTTTACAAAAATGCCCTTCATTAATGTAAAAAGTGATATAACAAATGGGTTGAAAGAGACATTTTTGTCATTTACCTATTTTATCCCGGGATTACTATACCACCCCAAGAGAGGGATAACTTATCCCGGTATTAATTATTAATCCCGGGATAAGTTATCCCGAACTTGCCAACCAAACAACAAATTAAGCGGTACTATAATTTAATCCCGGGACTATTTGGTATTATCCTTCACACCAAACGATCCCTAAGGGTACACATGAGTACTCGTAAGTAAGAATAGTTTAATTGATTAACTATCTAAACTTTCGATTTGTTGGACAGGATTTTATTTCTACTTTGTAATTCTCTTGCCCCCACACCCCCTGTTTCCTCCTCCCTCCCAATAAAAAAGAAAAAGAAAAGAGAGAGTAGTCGTAATCAGTTAAACTTCTGAGAGGTTTCTCAGCTTTAGTTTAATCATCTTCCATTCTTGAAGACTTTTTTTCTTCTGCAAGTTGAACAAGTCCTACACTATTAAATTAATGCCTAGTGTACTATATAGACATGAATTTGAAAACTTGGGGAGGGGTTGGTGGGAGTAAGAGGATGATTCCATGATATTTAATTTTAAATATGCACGCACTAGCTTTATTTTAAGAAGATATAGTGAAGAGTAATATTTCTTTATATACTTATTATACTTCTTGATATCCTAATATTAAAACACACTTATGGTGTTTCTTGACTATAAGGTAGAATCAATTGAAATATTCAATTTTTGAAAGGAGAAAGGAGTAAACTAGTGGTAGTTTATTTTAATTATAAAATGTAGTACTATTACAACTACAATGATTGTAACATAAAGCAGAAGCGGAAAATTCTACACGTCACGACAATTTTCCAAAGGACATAAACCAACTAATTAGTTTGAAGAAGTTGCATCCCAACTTCCTCTGTATCTTACATTATAACATGAATAGTCTTAACTCATATCATGGAAGAAAACTTTGTGCATGATTCTATTATGGTTAATGAGTGGCTCTGATATTTACACCAAGCCAAATTAGTATTAATACATAAAGGTAATCATATATATATTATTGATCATGGTTAGTAATAGAGTTGTATGTGAACGACAAATGTCATGTATTCATTGATGGTGAGTGTGTTTGTTTTTTCATTGAAATCCTCAAACTTAGTGTGGTATATCAAACTATCATCGCTATAAGCCTATAACTATTGTTTTTATTGAGAAATACATGAGAAAAAAAGGTCAAAAAATAATATTTTACATTCCATCTCATTGTTGAGTGGTCCCTAAATGAGGTCTAAAGAGTACTCATGGAGTGTCAAAACACATTATGTAACTGGTAAAAACATGATAGACAATATAAAATGTGAAATTCTAAAACGATTCAAAAGAATAGATTCAAACTTGATCTAAAATACAAATTAGAGAAACAAGAAGCTGGCATGCTCATTAAACACGCAAAATATGTTTGAAAAAAAAAACATTAAGCCAATTTGGTGATGCATGAGAACCATCTTTAGCCTATCAAAATGTTTGATGTAATTTAAGGATGGTACTGTTCAACATCAAAGTTTCTTAAAGCTAGGAACACATGAAAACTAATTAGTCCTTTAATTACTAGTGTGTAGAGTATATTCAATTACACATAACGAGGATTAGCAAATGTAGCAATTCCTAGAAAAAGTTTCTTGCCTATTTTGATGGTTGTTGTATTTTTATGAGATCGATGTAGGGTGTGTTTGGTATGAAGGTAAATGTTTTTCTAGAAAATGTTTTTCTGGAAAACAAGTAGATTTTTGACTTATTTTCTCATGTTTGGTTGGTGAGGAGAAAATATTTTCCGAAAAAAAAATTTAGTGTTTGATTTTTGAATGAAAAATATTTTTGAGAAATATCTTTATTTTTACTAGAGTTGAAAATAATTTTTGAAATTAAAAATAATTTTTGAAAACAAACTTTAATTTTTTTTTGGGGTGAGGGGGGGGGGGGAATCGAGGGTAGGGATGAAAAAATAAAAATTTGAAGTTGAAAATATTTTTAAAAACAAACTTAAATTTTTTTTGGGGGTGGGGGGCTGATAGAGGGTGGATGGGGGGGCCGGTAGAGGGGAGGGGGTGGGCGGGGGGTCGAGGGTAAGGTGAAAAAATGAAATTTTGAAGTTGAAAATATTTTTTAACAACAAACTTAATTTTTTTTTTTGGGGTGGGGAGGGGGGGGGGTCGAGGATAGAGGTGAAAAAATGAAATTTTAAAGTTGAATTTTTTTTTTTAAAAGTAAACTTTAAAAAAAATTTGGGGGTGGAGGGCTGGTAGGGGGTAGGGGGTAGGTGGGGGGGGGAGTTGAGGGTAGGGGTGAAAAAATGAAATTTTGAAGTTGAAAATATTTTATTAAAATAAACTTAATTTTTTTTTTTGGGAGCGGGGGGGGGGGGGGGGGGGGGGGGCTAGTAGAGAGTGGGTGGTTGGGGGGCGGTCGAAGGTAGGGATGAAAAAAATGAAATTTTAAAGTTTAAAATATTTTTTAAAAATAAACTTAAATTTTTCTTTGAGGGAGTGGGTGGGTTGGGGGGGGGGGGGTTGAGGTAAGGGTGAAAAAAAAGAAATTTTGAAATTGAAAATATTTTTTAAAAATAAACTTAAATTTTTCTTTGGGGGTGGAGGGGCTGGTAGGGGGGTGGGTTGGGGGCTGGTAGGGTGGGTTGGAAGAGAGTTTTGGAAAATGTTTTCCTTAAGTTTTGAAGGAAAGTCATTTTCCTTAAATTTGAGGAAAATGAGTTGATTTGAAAAAATATTTTCCAAAACATATAACCCAACCAAACATGAGAAAATTGAAAAACATTTTCCGGAAAATGTTTTCCTTCATACCAAACACACCCGTAGTGTAAAATAGATTCATTCAGTAATTTTCACAAACAATCAACATTTGACCTCTTGTGCCTATAAATTAAAAAAAGGGGAGCTGAAAGCCACTTGAGTAAAAAACTTGCAGAAAAATAAACGATTGGGTCAATTGTGTTCCAATCACAAGCTTTTTTTATGCACTTTGTACCTAAGTTAATCCAACTTGAGGAATCTTAGTAGCTTAGTTGGTTCGTTACCTAAGCTTTCACCTTATTGATGGAATTTGATTCCCCACGTTATAATCCTCTCCCGGATTTCCCCTTCCACTACCCCAAATGAAGTTGATCAGACTTGAAGGATAACTATCTCAACTGAACAATTAAACCAGTCAGTACCTAATTAATTGAACCTATTGACTCATTACTTCAGTCTGCACAATTTAAAGCTACAAAAAGTAGTTGGCTTATGTAACTGTAAAGCCAAATCTAAGTTGGGCTATCCAGAGTTATAACTAGGTTAATACATGCATATAATCCAGATCATATATCTGTAAGGAGAAATAAATTGTTCAGACCATAAGAACACGTATCGCTTTCCTTGGTAGCATTGGCCCTCCAAAATCCCAAAAACATCAAGTGGGTTCAAGACTGCACAGTATAAGCTACTTCATGTCGATTCCACTTGAGTTTCACCATCTGCAAAAGCAAGCATCCTGTTTAACACAATTTCTCACAAGAAAAAAAAGTGATGATTTGAATCTCAGGGCAGGGGACTAACAAAAAAATCCCTTACTCTCAAGATACATCGCTAGATTTGCCCGCGTATCAGCTTCCGTGTTGAGTTCCTGACATGTTAAATAAGTAACACCTCAGAAATGAATGTAACATATGCAGAAAGGTAACTATGAATGTAACATATGCAGAAAGGTAACTTGAAGAATTGGGTAAGGTGAATATATAAACAACACCGTAGACTCTCATATTGAGCAATGCAAAAAGAAAAAGTCAAATGACATGCTTGGGAAGCATGCACTCGCATCCAGAAACAGATCGATAGAAGAACCATTTTCAGATGGTGCAACACCAAAAATATTGCATAAATTGAACCCAACCTCCGAGTACCCACTGCTTGTCCATCTTTTGTTTCAGGAGTTCTTTTCAACAGATTATACCACACTCATTTATGCAGAGGCATCATACAACATATATTCCCGGGTACTTAGCACATCATATTTTCACTAAACAAACTCTTTTCAAGCAAGAAGATCATAATTATAAAAATGTTGCAAGAGTTGTCCATACTCTTTCTACATGGCTAATATGGAAAGACATAAACTGATCTTTAAGCTCTTCGACAGTCTTGGACAATTCCACCATGTTTTGGTTTGTAGTTTTCCAGATTCCCTGAATCTGTTCCATGAAAAAAAATAGAAAATAAAGTAATGGGTGACTGTAGACCACCAACAAGTAGATTGTAGATCTAGTAAATAAATAAACAGTAATGAAAAATAAACTTAAGTTGGTAAATAAATACAATCCCAGTAAAATGATCAGACAGGCATGGTGAAGTCTAGCTTCAGTTTTTCAACCTTGATCTCAGTGTAAGTTAGAACGCAAATGGGAGGATAACATTCCAAAGAAACAAGGCTCGACATAACCCATTATTCACTTAAACGAGGCCCTGGACATTAAATTAAAATTTGTATGCCTGATGGTTCAGTTAACAGTCCAAGATCCTAACCCAT